CAACCCCACCACCCTCCTCTACCCTGGCTATGGACACAAATGAATACAAACTAACTTCTAGTTGCAAGCCCCAAAGACTTTGCAGATAAAGTTAGAAGTCACTGATTTTCCAGAGAGGGAGCAGTGACAACTTGCCATTTCTTCAGCTCTTTTGAAGCCCGCCCCTGCCACTGCTGCATTTCTCTCACTCATTCTCAGTGTCCCTTAGCTCTCTCATCTGACAATTGAGGAAACAGATCCAGAGAGATGGAGAGCTATCCACCACAAATGAGATCAAGAATTTGGAAGGGCAAAACCCAGGCACCTAACTTTATTTTTGTGGCCAGGAGGAAGTGCGAACCTATGTTCAAAGGCCTGGTGTTAAAGGGATTTTCCTGGTTTGCATGGTGTCCAAAGCCTGAGGCTACTCCCAATTCTCTCCTAGACCCAGAAAATTAATTTGTTTATCTTTCACTACCAAGCTTTGATGGAGCTTAGGACAAATGCCCCTTAGGACACTGGAATTACATTTATGTGCCCCCTGGGGATTGGGACCCTCATCTCTCACCCTGAATCATTTTATCAAAGGTTGCTTCCTACATGGGCTCTGTAGGAGGGAGCAGAGCATTCTGGTGCCATATAATTTCTTGAATCAGCACTCAATCTCTGCCAGGATGCTTGATGGACTTAGCAAATACCTATTAACCCACCTTCTCTGGCCACTCCCCTGTGAGGCCCTTCTGCTGGCTCAACAGTCCTGCTGTAATCTGCCTGCTTGTTGCCCACCCCACAGAAGCCCCAACCTCAAGGCTCATCTACCTCTATCTCATAGGAGCCACCCAGTGGAGGCAACCAACAGGGGTGGAAGCGGATAGGCAGGAGGCCTGGGCAGGACAAGGACAAAAACAGAGGGAGAAAAGCTCTGGGAGAATGATAGCAGGAAGGAGGCAAGAATAACAGAGAAACAGAAGGTAGAGAAATAAATGGGAGAAAGAACAAGGAAAGATAGTCAGAAATTTTTTTGAGGTCAAGAGCAAGTCCACAGGAACACTCTTCATTGCAGAACCAGCAGTGTGGGGGAAGGGGTTCTCAACATCCCTGGAACTAACTTTCAAAGAATGTACTCAGACAGAGTTCAAGTTTGGCAGTAGAACCAAGT